TTATGAAGTATATATTTTGAAACACCCATTTTCATCAGAATAGATTACAGCTTTCATTGTTTATTTCACTATCTTTCAGAGAGGAATGTCAGATGATTTGAATAGTCGTACTGCATTAGATAGGTGCATTAAATTCGTTTTCATAAAATTGAAAATCCAACATGAACACACTATAATTATTGTTTAATTTGATAACTGTAACAAATAGGTAACCTGAATGATCTAAAAACCTGTATATACTAACATATTATTTGAATATTATGCAGTTCCAACAATATTACAAACATCTTTTCTACGTGGTAGAGCCATGCTGCAGCTATACTATGGTTGTAGCACGAATGGGTCGGCTCGAACGGGGAAGGACCACGCTCTCACAGAAAACGAGCGTAAAATAGCTGTCCATCCATCTTAGTCCTCACGGGCGACAACGCATCTGTATCTTGAGTGTTTATTGAGGATAGATGTAGATGTCTATGAGTCACATAAACCACTTACCATCAGGTGGACTGTGTGCTCGTTTGTCACCCTATCCTATAAAAAAAACCCTACAGGTCCAATTAATAACCTCTTTTTTTTGAAGAAGGATAAAAAATTACTGGTGAAGTTTATATTTATTATTAAATACAAATATTAGTTGCCATTAAAATTTTAGTCACCCGCATAGTAATTTCCTTTAATATTAAAAATATTTCTTTACAGACCCTACATGGTGCAAATCTTTTAAAGCATTTAAGCAAATACCATGAAAAAGAGTACAAGGAAGTATTATTGCTGAATAAAGAAAATTACAATTTGTCTAAAAAACCCAGATTAAGTACGCAGGATAGTTTACTTCAGGAGTGTACAAATTTAGTTACTGTTCACGGACGTCCATTGACATTAATCGATGATCACGCTTTTCAAAATATTTTATCTATGATACCCAATATTAACTTGGCGATTAATTCTCAAAATGTACGATGTACCCTTAAAGATACTGCTGACCAATTACGTTCAAATTTAGCTAATGAGGTGCGAAATTTACCTATATGCCTCAAAGTGGATGTAGCCTCCTTGTCGAATCGTAGTTTTATGGGAGTCAATGCTCAGTATATTAAGGATGGACAAATTGTTCTTAGAAATCTAGCAGTAATTGAACTGTTTAAACGACATACATCTGAACATTTAAAGGAAAGATTGATTTTCATTTTGCGGCGATTTAGAATCCACAACAAGCAGGTTTATTGTATAACTACCGATAATGGTGCAAACATACTAAAAATGAGTAGATTATTTGCGGCCGATACTATTCATATTGAAAATAACAACGAAAATTATAATCCTGAAGAAGGCGATCGATTCAATAGCAAATTTAGTCAATTAGATGATATCACACATTCTGATTCTGAATCGGACGCAGATGATGTCGATCATGAAACAGAAAATGATTTTAATGACCAAATAATGCAATCTATATTTAATTTTCAATTGAATATTGTAGATGACGAGGATAACATTGCCATTGCAGTAGTCAGATGCGCTGCACATACCCTACAACTCGCAATGCAAGATGTTTGCAATGATAATGTTATACAAAGCGTAATAACCAGTGCCCGAAATATAATAAAACGGCTTAGAACACCAACATTCACTGTTATTTTAAAAGAAAAAAGGAAGAAGAAACCTACATTAGATTGCTCCACGAGATGGCATTCTACGATAGATATGGTTGAAAGTATTTTAAACCTAAAAGATATATGTGCAACAAGTGAACTCCTATACTTACCTGATGAGACCTGGAATGATCTAGATTTATTTTTGAAATCTATGCTTCCAGGAAAGAAGCTTACTAAAATTTTGCAAAAAGAACAGCTTACTATGGGTGATTTTTATATCGAATGGATGAAATGTCAATTTGAACTGCAAAAAATTAACACTCTGTTAGCTAGACAGATTATTTGTCACATGAAACACAGACAAGATGTTTTATTTGACAATAATGCATTCTTAAGTGCTATTTATTTAGACCCTAGAGTAAATTCTACTCTCACAAATGAACAGCAAAGTATTGCACAAACCAATTTAATAAATTTATATATCCATATCCAGAAAATGAATTTACTAAATCAGAAGAATACACATATTTCTTCAAGCGTGGAAACGGAAAATATGCCATCTACCTCAAATGACATACAAGCTGTAGGTTCATGTCAGTGCTTGGAGGATTTCTTAAATTCTAGTTATATTGAAAAACATGTACATAACATTTCAACTTTAGTAAGAAGGACCGATCTAACTGGTGAAATAACCAATACTCTTAAAGCATCATTTAAAATATTTTTAGAAGAACCGCTTCTAAAGTCGTCGGAAAGTGTTTTGAAATTCTGGGAGGAAAAACAGCTCATATATCCACAACTTTATCAATTGGCGCGTGTTGCATTAAGTGTACCAGCAACGCAAGTTAGTGTGGAACGACTTTTTTCAGCATTAAAGTTCATAGTTTCCAATTTGAGGATGAATTTAAAAGACGATATTATAGAAGATATTTTATTTGTACGTTGTTACAAGTTATATCGTTAACTGGACAAAGTACATTACAATAAATAGAAAAACTACAGCTAAACTAATACTGGTCTACTCATATCAATAAGAGAAAGTTTATTATTAAAAATATTATGTATCTCATCGGATAATTGTGAAAACCGTTACTTTATATTAAAAAAACTATCAAGATTGTAAATTATGATTGTAAACGAACAATAAGATTTGCAATTTAACATTTTTATTAGATTCGCCTCATTGGTTTTTGCCCCGCCCCATTTACATTTTAAATTTTTTTTTATATTTTAAAGCTTATATTATAATAACTTATATGCTCTTCGTTTATTTTTCTTAGTTGTTGAATGATAACATATTATTGTGATAAAACTTAATGTATCATTACCTTAGATACCACCGTTTTTATTATTATTGATTGTTAAAAAATCACTAAAAGTTGTGTTCATTTAAAATAATTAAAAATTAAATAACTGCCTAGGTATTGTTTTTTATTTATTATAATTTCCTGCATTGGTTAATCAGTTAATTAAATTTATACTTCAATGTTTCAAAGTAATCCTATTTTAGTTATATTCTTTCCGTGTCCGTTACCTCTATTTGATTTGTGTGGTAATTTTTCACTTCATTCAAAAAGTTTAGTATTTTGATGTAACATCTTGTTTTCATACATGGGTTAATATATTTTAGTTCTTCAGTTAGTAATTGGGCAAAGTATTCATTCCTTCTATCGTCGTTGATGTAAGTTGCACAACATTCAGACTTAGTTTGGACCCTTAAACGTGCTTTATTCTTATCTTCTTTTATATTGTACCTTGTAGGCCGTAAGAGTGATGGAGATATTGGACGATTTTTTGTTTCCGAGTCCATTATATCAGGAGTAATACTTCGTTTCATACCTAAAACTAAAAAGATATAGAGACCTTAATAATTAATTATAATATTGTTCCTGCAGAAACATTCGTACAAAATTTTATCCTAATCGGTTCAGCAGATTTTTTGTTGATCCATTACTATGTATGGAATATGCGTGCTAATAAAATTGGGATCGCGCTCGCGACAGCTTCACTAACGGCCGGTTTCAATATTCTATCTATCTGTGGGTTTGGTTACAGATGAGTATTTGACATTAGCTGCATATAAAATACGTCAAAATTCTACTTCTAGACTCCAGTAAAAAAATCCATATGTATAGGATATTGAAACCGGCCGTTAGCCACGCAACGAATTTTGATACAGTTTTCACTATCGTTTAGAGAATGACTTTGTTTATAGATTATTAGAAACATTAATATTAAATTGCACCCGTGAGAAGCCAGGGCGCGTCGTTAGTAACATGTAAAAAAATATTTTATTATCTTACCTTTGATATTCCGAGATTTATATAGTACTACAGTTGATAATTCATTTGCTGCACTGACGACCATAAAACGTACTTTTTAGCCTATAGCTTTAGAGCACTGCGTTCGATAGAAGATACGAGTAAAAGAGATGGCATAGAACAATAAATAATAACATTATCAATTTGTGCTAACAATATTTTAGAAACGTTTATTTGACAAATTTATTGTAACGTAATTATAACGTTATATACATGCAAAGCTTTGCATAATATCGTTTTGACATATGGTTTCTCTTAAACATAACGTTATCTCGCAGTTGCGCAGATATCGTTACTGAATTTTACCGATATTTAAGTCCCTGGATACGTCATACTCGCTCTAAAATGGCAATACGAAAGTCAGGTAATTGCCCGACTCACATTCAGTCGTGCACGCTCTCGCGTCACGGTTATACCTTCGCTACAGCGCGTAAATCTTCTAGTTATTCATGGTAAAAATGCCTTCCTGTGTTTTTAGGTGGTGCACAAATTACTCGGCAACTGTTAGAAACAAGAAAAATGTCGTGTGTATGATGTTTTGTTCATGATTGGTTTTATTATTTCAACAGTAACCGCTAGTGTAAACTTTGATGCTACCTAGTGTGTTCATTTCCATATCGGTATGTCACGCGCTCACGCCAATGAGCGCTTAGCAGCAATCAGTACGCAACTAATGATGTATATTCATCTTTTTCTAACGATAGGTATGCCGTAATATTTTTTTCTTTTTGTTAGTGCAACGTGTTATAATAAATAACTGTACTACCTGCGCCACTTTAAAATACAATAATGTTAGTGTGTAACCTATCTTTTTTAATACGTCTTTGATTGGGGCAGCGCGGCGGACATTTCCTTGCCTTTAGGGCAACCCGCTCAGAAATTAGGGGAGGCCTGTGCCCAGCAGTGGGACGCATAGGTATAGGCTGTAACTTTAAGTTTAACTTAATTTTTATATATAACGTTCAGTCCTAAACGCCTCGTATGTTTATGTAAAACTTATTGCCCGAATATTTAAATATTGCACTAATAGACTACAGTCACAATATTCAATATTTTTCTCAATATGATATCTACTTACTTTCAGGATGTCATTCGTTTGGAAACTCAATATTGGTCACTGGTGGAAATACCAAAACAAGAGAAGGCTGAAACGGTTCCGGCATTCGTTCTTCGCGCATGTGCTATAATGGAAAAAACGCAGAAGTCCGGAGAAGGTGTTAAGACTTCTTCTAAGCTGGCTGAAGAAGCTGCGGACCGGAAGGAGCGAATAGAGCGCCTGAATGGTAAATAAATATTCCGTTTAAAAGCATTATCAAAATTAATTATGAATTGTAGAATACATTATATTTACTTAATTAGCCTCAAAACATACCACCGCGGGATATACTCGTAGGCCTCTGCTATCAGCCTCATTGTGGTATTCTTTACGTTCAGCAGGACAAGCTCACAGAAGACCAGCGTAAAATAGCAGCTCAATGCTACTGTGTTTTGTATTGTAAATGTATAGAACCGGAAACCCTTACTGGAAACGAGGATTAGCGTAGATGTCTAAGGGCCACAGCATCCACTTACCATTAGTACGAATCTGTGCTCGTTTTATATAAAAAAAACATGCGTAAGTGTCGTGTAGCACTCCGTTCGAACGAAGTTCCTTTCGTTTCGTAAACGTATTATATTATTGATTAACAAATACAAATAAATGAATTACTAACGTCTATTAAAATAAAGCGTAATTTAAAATAATATTTCTTTCATGGCAAGATAAGAAAGAGTGCGAGGGAGATGCATATTATTCCATCACGCTTACTTATAGCCGCTAAGGCCGTCTACACTACGTCAGAAGGGGTCGTGACGGAAAAATCTTACACTTTTCTCGCCTAGCCCCCATCCGTGGTAGAGCCACGCTGCTAGCTATACATAAGTGCAGCACAAATGGGTCGGCTCGACCAAGTTAGGACCACGCTCTCTCAGAATACAGAATAATGCTGCAGTTTTTCGTATGGTGAGAACCGGAGACCGTTTTAACTGGTAACAAGGAATTCCATCTTAGTCCTCAGGTGCATAGATGTTGATGTCCATGGGCCATTGCATTTACTTACCATCATATAGACAATATGCTCGTTTGGCACTCTTATTAAAAAAAATGCACTAGTACAACAGATAAATATACTAAAAGTACAATTTAAAAATCTCTTTAAAAAAATTCAATTTCTTCGACCTTATTGTTAAGAACGTTTTTCTTAACCTTCTTCACCATATATAATTTAACATTTTTCTTTCTTTTGTAATATTGGCTGCGAATTTAAAATAAAGGTCAAAGGTTTCATATCGAAATGGAACAAAGAAAAAGAAAATCATAACCTTTCGCAGTAAAATTCTTTCAATTGACAAATGCTTGAGAACTTTTCAATTTAGACAATTTACATTTTTCAAATAAGAATAAGTATCACTGTTGCTTTTATATTTTATATTTACTGTGGTAGATTATGTAGCGAATTCATCGATAAGTATACTTTTACCAAATATCTGAATTCGTAAACCATTTATACCGACCGAACAAGAATTTTGGTAGTAAAATATTTTCTATTGCCTCTAGGAATTTTCACAGCATCATATTATATTGCTCTAGGACAAAGAGCTGTGCCGTGTTGTGATGACGTAAAAGAATCCACTACCCCAAACCATTCCGTGAACGTCAGAACGAAATGAAACCGAAGATGGGCAGGAGCATATTCTAATTAACGACTTAAAATAATAAAAAACTGCGTTTGCCAAGTGCCAACCCGCCTGCCAAAAGTGGCAAGTAAAGCAAATATCTTCTCTTTTAACCCCGCAAGCTATGGGGAAGGTCTATGTTCAGCAGTAGACTTTTGATTGGCTGTAATTTATGAATGAATAAAAAAACAGCTAAACCCAAAACAATTATTTGTTGGCCTTACAAATACTTATTCCGCGCGGGAATCGACCGCACGCACGCACGCCTGCCCGAAATATTATGTAAATTCAATTATAAGCCTTTTTTTTATAATACATGTCAGCATCACCTTAATGTCAGACTTTAAGTTTTAGAAACTGACACTCGTTTACGCCTGGAACCACAGAACTGGAACCAACATTCACCGCGGATGTTACATTATTTCAGAACAATAATTACTGTTCTGTGAAAATTATAACCTATGTAGTGCCTATAGGGACATGCATACAAGAATAATATACAGTGTTAAACGGTCAATCCTCAGATAAAATCTATTCAAAGAATATAATACAACGTAAACAAATTAAAAATGAATGTAGTATTAATAAAGCAGTTCGATTTTTTTACTTTTATATTCAGTCAGGTTATAATTTATTTGACGGATAACATTAATCTGACGATTGAATCATTTAAATTTAAAAATTTTGTACATCGACTTCAATATAAATTATTAAGTATAACTCAAAAGTTATCATTGGTCAGACCTTGATCAAATTTATATGAGACCACATGTGAAACATCAGCTTTCAAACAAAAAAAGATTCATCGAAATCGATTCACCCAGAAAAAAGTTATGAGGTAGCAGGAACATATAAAAAAAACATACAGTCGAATTGAGTACCGTCTCCTTTTTGAAATCGGTAGAAAATCAGGGCTTATTTAGTTAAAAAACAAGACAATGCTATGATTATCAGAATGCTATGATTTTCAAAAGCTAACTCAGTCACTCCATCGACATCATAGCATTATTATGGTTTTGATGTTTTACAAATGAACGAAAGCTCTGAGACAACTTCAAAGAAAGAAGGCCACAGATTCGTTATCACCCCTGAGAACTCACGACATGAAATACAGGCTGTAGTTTTACTTACGCTCCTACTCTTTGAACCATAACCCAGCAGTAAGCGTACAACTGTTTGGCGGTATAAAAAGGTATTAAAATAGAAAAAGGTGGAAAAGTAACCCTACCATCCAGAAAAAGTCAACACCACGCCACCAATACAATCAGCCGTCAGCCGTGTGGTGGCCGCGAAAGAAAAAGCACCACCTTATTTCGTACAATGAATGTCGTGAGATTTGATTATGATAAATGCCAAGAAGACCTCATGGTTCTTTTTTTATAGGATACGGGTGACAAACGAGCACACAGTCCACCTGATGGTAAGTGGTTGCTGTGTCCTACAGATATCTGCATCTATCCTCGATTACGTATCAAAATGCAGATGCGATGCCACCTGTGGGGACCAAAATGGAATGCCTCGTTTCCAGTAAAAAGGGTATCCGGTTCTCCAATCTCACCATACAAAACACAGCAGCGTTAAGCTGCTATTGTATGCTAGTATTCTGTGAGAGCGTGGTCCTTCTTCGGTTGAGCCGACCCATTCGTGCTACTACTATACCAGTAATATAGCTCCAGTATGGCTCTACCACGTAAAATGGCTTTCGAAATATGGTTAGAAATCCTTGTTTATGACAGATATCACACAGACAGGCGGACAGGCGACGGGAAGCAGAGTCAATTTCTACGTAGAAATTAAGGCTGCCTACCGATATTCTGCATTAGATTTTTAGGTATATATATGTATGTATATGTATATGTATATATATATATATATATATATATATATATATGTATATATATATATATATATATATATATATATATATATATATAAACTAAATGATAATAATGATGTGATAATAATTGCTTCTGCACATTGGACTGAAAGAATGATTTGCAAATTTAGCAACGTACTGCAGAGCAGAGACTATCGGTCCGTGGCGTTCACTTGCGGTTAGTACTATTGTTTATTCTGTAGTGCGGTGAAGTTCCTAAAGGTATATTTTTTTATTATGGTTTAAAATGTTGTTAAAGTATGTTAATGTTATGTAAATAAAAAAAAATTAAACTGACTTTAAATATCATCGTACCTTGTTGAAATTTATATGGGACCATTGTGGCTTCTGATATATCGTGTTAAGATACATTAAAATCGCAATTGAATTGATAATATTCTCCTTTTTGTGACGGTTAACAAGAGCATAAACAAAAAATATTATTGTCTGGTGCCAATGGAAGGCCGTCAATCATCTGTCAACCTTGCTGTTGATTAAGGAGGCCACGATTCCTGATTGCTGTTCTGTGTGAGCGATTGTCTGCTTAATTACATTGCATTGCTCGAAACTTGAAGCTCTCTTCCAATATTCTTTTTTTAAACTCGACGTTAATCACCTCTTGATTTTAAGATGAATTAAAGAATAAAATTATTCTTTTATATACATATACTAGCTGACCCGGCAAACGTTGTTTTGCCATTTATACATTATTTCAAGGAAATATTTTTAGTTTTAAAAATTGCGATTAAAAACCAGGGGTTATTCGTAGAAGGGTGAAAATTTTAAATTTTATGCATTTTTCAATGCTAAATCATAATAAAATTAAAATTAAAATTCTGTATAAAAAAATATTTAGGAGTGGGTCACCCTTATCATTTAGCGGTTTGAAAAATAGATGTTGGCCGATTCTCAGACCTACCCGATATGCACACAAAATTTCATACAAATCGGTTCAGCCGTTTCGGAGAAGTTTGGTAACAAACACCGCGACACGAGAATTTTATATATTAGATATTGTGTATTCAGTTTTTAATAATACAAATATTATTAATTTGTAAGAGTAGCTTGTTAAATTCATTTATGAAATTGCTTTCTCTGTTACAACTTTAATATTAAAAATATTTATTAATAAATTGATGAGTGATACTTTAACTGAAATGAAGTGGAATAAATGATGGGAAAGGGAGACCGCTGATGATGAGACTAATAATCAGGGGTGATAAGGCATCAAAATTTTGGTTCTTAATCTAGGATAGACGTAGATGTCAATTAACCACAGTATTCACTTCCCATCAGGTGGACGGTGTGCTCGTTTGTCAACCTTAATTCTTTAAAAAAGTTATAATAAAAAGTAGTAGACGCCTCAGTAAGCGCCACAAGACCTTGTTTTGGAAAAGGGAAATTCTTTGCAACTTTTACGACAAATGAGAAATGCTGTCTTTTTGTGCCATTACCACAAAGTAAATGGTGTTAAAGCCAGAGGTTACAAAGAGAGCCTTAAATAGGCAGCTAGAATTTGACTTCATAATTCGTAAGAAATGAACGGCCTGAAAGCCGCGTGTTCGAATCTTACACGGAATAAGTATTTATATAGCCTACAAATAATTGCTCCGGATCTGTCTTCTAAATACAGGAGAAAATCCTAGTGTGAAGGTATTATTTTAAAAGAAAAACAAATCGAATCGAAAATGAACTCGGCTATACTTAATTAATTATATTTGGATAAAACAATTTTAAATACTTGCATGTCTAAACAACATCATTTTAAGACTTAAGACTTACACTTTTCTTAATTTAACTATCTTAAAAATTAAAATATTTTTATATTCAGGCGAGCAACGGTTAAAGAGACGTAAACATTTGCTCTTAAATTTTTGCACATCCTATTTTAAGTCAGGCCAAGACGAATAGCCAGACTAGAACAGCGTCTGGAAGCTCTGGTATAAACAAGAGCTTCCAAGACGCACACGGAGGCGATGTAAGAATATCCACTAATCCATATCGACCCGCGAATGTCGTAAGAGGCGACGGAGGGATACATATCAGGAGATGAGCAACAGCATTTTCCTGATAACAGCTTGAAAATTAAAAAACTGCGGTTGCCAAACTATCTGCTAAACTGTGGCAAATAACCCCCTAATGAGATAATCTATGGGGAGGCCTATGTTCAGCAGTGAATTTAGAAAGGATGTATTGATGTTGACTAATTGATTTCAAATGTCAATCATGACTTGACAAAGTAAGTCAAGGCTAACTTTATGAGAACAATTAGTGAGCCATCAACACGTTAAAGACTCTCGAGAACAAATGCCATTAAAGTGTAAAAAGTCAATGAGTAAATTATTTAAAAAAAAACTGACTGAAAAGCAAAAGTCTCCCGTAAGGACTAAGATAGAATGCTTCGTTTCCAGTAAAAAGGGTCTCCGGTTCTTTACACTCACTATACGAAACACAGCAATGTTAATCTCCTATTTTACTCCGGTATTCTGTGAGAGCGTGGTCCTTCCCCGGTCGAGCCGATCCATTCGTGCTACAATTATACCAGTAATATCGCTGCAGCATAGCTCTACCACGTATAAACTTCGACGTTCGTGCGAGCGAACTTCACTTGACCTCGAAATATTTAATAACTCAGACTTTAGATATACTGGCTGACTTTTATTATCCACCTTACCGTTCAAATTATTTTGTTTTATTTATTGGGCTATTAGTAACTTGATTTTTTTTTCTTAAAATAAAGCAGGTTTAGCTGGCAACTAGATGCAGCCGTTTGCGATTGGTTAAACTTAGGTGTATTCCGAATTATTAGTGGTACGGTTAGTGGCAAAAGAAATAATAAACCTTAGTTGACCTGCAATTGCGTAACAAGCACTTGATACCGCTAGAGTAATAGCAAAATTATTATTTTTTAATAAAGACGATTCCACCACATCCCAAGACATGGTTAGAATACATAAAAAAATACGAAACAAATACTGGCTTAGCAAAAAACGTCAAGCAAAGATAATGGACTATATTATGTAATTTAGAATAATTTAATTACATATTCGACATGTAATTAAATTATTCTCAGATATTAAAAAAATATTGTGATTAGTATTTGGTTGTTTCTCTTTCTTCATTCCACATAACGACAACTCTCTATAACGAATAAAATTCTCGGCGAGTATCGTTATATAGAGTATAGACTTTATTACATTTTTTATTACAATGATATTTTTTTGTAGATCTGAAGTGACAAACGAACTTACAGACCACCTGATGGTAAGTGGCTACTGCAGCCCATGAACACCTGCAGCCACCTTCAAATAAAGTAAGTTATAGACATAGAAGACATGTACTTACAGATGTGTTGTCACCCCTGAGAACTAAGATGGAATGTCTCACAGCCTGTATATAATACTGGCTCTCTGTACCTTTACGAGCTAAACACAGCAGTGCAAGCACTGCAATTTAATTTCCACTACGAATTAATATATTCATGTGATGCCATTCACCATCTATTTTCTTATTTATACATTGGTAGTATTTAGTTAGTGCGTCGTAGTTTTGGATAATTTATGTTACAACATTACCCCACATTAGGCTCCGATCGGGGACAACGGAGCTAAAACACATCCTAATAAAAAAGCGCCCAAGTGCGAGTCGGACTCGCCCATGAAGGGTTCCGTAGCAGCAAGTAATATAATTTACGATTTATGACGTATTAAAAAAACTACTTACTAGATCTCGTCCAAACCAATTTTCTATTGAAGTTTACATGGTAATGTACATCATACATTTTTTTTTTAGTCTTATCATTCTCTTATTTTAGAAGTTACAGGGGGGAGGGACACATTTTACCACTTTGGAAGTCTCTCTCGCGCAAACTATTTAGTTTAGAAAAAAATTATATAAGAAACATCAATATTATTTTGGAGACCTATCTATAGATACCCCACACGTATGGGCTTGATGAAAAAAAAAATTTTGAGTTTCAGTTCTAAGTATAGGGAACCCCCAAAATTTATTGTTTTTTTTATATATTTTTGTGTGAAAATCTTAATGCGGTTCACAGAATACGTCTACTTACCAAGTTTCAACAGCATAGTTCTTATAGTTTCGGAAAAAAGTGGCTGTGACATACGGACGGACGGACAGACAGACATGACGAATCCATAAGGTTTCCGTTTTTTTGCCATTTGGCTACGGAACCCTAAAAAGTACATACAGTCAGTCATCGCGTTTGATGTTGTCGGAAAAGCCGACATAAACAATAGAACAAGGGAGTAATAAAAAAATAAAAAACTGATTTTATTTTATTTCACGTTTCAAATAATGAATGTGTATGTGGAAACTGATCAAACTAATTCCTTATCTTTAAATGAGGACGACCTACAGTTTTTTACCGCACATGTAGTGTGAACCATTTTAATTTATTTGCGTGAGAGGACAATCCTAGCGGACACTTCCCGAGTGGCTACGGGCCGCTCGGGAAGTCTTCAGGCCGTGTCTCGCCCCGCACCGCACGATTGCCCTGTCTAGACGCCTTCGATGACCGACTGTTATTAGTAGTTAGACTGTGGCTAAACGTTGTTCTATCTCGGCAATCGAAACACTATAAATTGCAACATTTTTAATTTTATTCTTCTTTAACGATTACAGATATGACAACTTCTCAAATTGAAGCTGAGAATACGCAGATGACTAACGATTTGTACCGTCTGCTGAAGAAATATACAGGATTGAGGAATCTAATCAGGGAACTAAAGGTAGGTACTCTGAATCAACAAGACAAGACTGTTGTAAGCGTGTTCTGCATAAATGAATCCAAAAATTTATATTTAAAAACTGATGGGGAAGAAAAGTTCTCCAACTGCAGTAAGCTAGGGCTCTTACTTAATGCAGTAAAGACTTGAATATGAAGTCAATCAGAAATAGAAACTTTTTTATTTAATATAGATTATAAATAATACTTATAGAAAGTCACTCTTTTGTGTAATTACCACTGGCTTGAAAAAAAAACTTCCTTCCTGGGAAGAACCAGCAAGAAACCCAGCGGGACTTTTTTTAAAAATAACAGCTTACAATCATGATGTATGTTACAAAATTAACAACCCAAAACAAATTAGAATTAGCTTGGTAGCGATCACCTCATTCCCAGGGGTTATTATCATCCATAAATTCCTTAATATTATAGTAACCCTTTTTATACAAACTTAGTTTAAAAAAGTTTTTGAACTTTGAACAAGTCAAATTTTGTCCATCGCCCCAAGAATGATTTACTGACTCGGTGGAGTCGAAGCAGGTGGCTCAGGATCGTGTTATGTGGCAGTCTTTGAGCAGGTACCTAGATCAGCAGTAAATTTGTGATGATGATAAATGTCATACATAATACGTCAATAAACACATAGTTTATGAGCATTTTCGTAAGTTTATGTACTTGTACTATTATCTATTCTGTGGTTTATGTCAGCCTTTAATCAATCTCAGTTGCAATAAATTATGTAGATACTTTAATTACATTACGATTTAATCAAAGGTCACTCAATCGCATTGCAATAATGTAAGAAACATGCCTCGATAAATTAATGACATATTATTTAGCGATGAATAATTCCTTTATGATATCATTTGTATTGCGATCCCACGTAATACACAAATAGAATAAGGTTTTTTTCTATGATGTCGTGAATGATTACAAAGGATACTAATACATTTGTATTAAACAAATTAAGAGTCTCTTTCAATAACAACAGTTATACAATAAAAAAAAATCAGAAAAATCTGGTCACTAACCAGATAATAATAATGTTTTGTAACGGGCACCGTGCGCACCGTATAGTAGCGGTGTATGAATTTCCACTATTACGAGATTTCTTAGTAATAAACGGACGTCATTAGGATCTTTACTTATGTGCCTACAATTTATTTCAATAAAGAATAGTGTTATTGTTTATTTTTAGATGTGGTTAAGGTGACCATATGACCAGCTTTGAGTGGGACAGACCCGCGTTTAAGCTGTGTCCCGCCGTCCCCAAAATACGCAAAAAAATATTAAATAAGAACTAGTTATTTCTAAGCAGCATTTATTTGCTCTTCTTAAAATATATAAAAAGCCAGCCACCAGACTGTAAAAGGTTATTTCTCATTTTCACTTTCGATCATTAAATATTTGATAAATAGATATGTTTCATTTTTAAAAACCATAATAAGTTAAGGGTGTCCCGCTCTGAGAGAAAAAAATAAATGGTCACGTTAAGTATGATTGACATTAGTGATTCAATGACTGATACGTCTTTTTTAAGATTGTAAGTAAAAGCAGGCGTTACTTTGCGGAAATCCACTATACCTATTAAAGATATCAAAAATTAATTTGCTAAGATGCGCGTTATATAATTTTTTTTTGTAAATGGAAAGTTATTTTAAATTTTACATAGTTTGTTCAACGCCTATAATTTTATCACGACTTATATTCTTGATTAGAGCTTAGTTGAACAAAGAAAGTTAAGATATTTAAAAATCAACCTGTCATTAAATTTCGGATTATGGTATCAATAAAAATATGCCAAAGTTTATTTTAGAAAATGAAATATATTTTTTTTAATTTGCTAAAGTCAGTTTCTTCGTAAAGATAAAATTAAAAGTTTTGTACAGTCGACTTCAATATAAATTATTAAGAATAACTCAAAAACTATTGGTCAGACATTGGTCATATGGGACCACATGTGAAACATCAGCTTTCAAATAAAAAAAGAATCATCGAAATCGCTTCATCCAGTAAAAAGTTATGAGGTAACACATATAAAAAAGCATACAGTCGAATTGAGTACCGTCTCCTTTTTGAAGTCGGCAGAAAATGAAACGTCTTACCTAGTTTGAAGACGGGAGGTGCTCTTCAAACTAGGTAAGACACATCATTTTATTTTATTACACGGATCTCAGCTAATTAATTTTTAACTTATTTAACTAATAGCTACTTCCCAAAAATCGCAAAAGTAGTTTTAAACAGGGATGGAAAAATCATGATTTTTTTTAATTTTAATCAAACCATGCAGATTTTTTTTAATTTTTGATTTTTTTTGTATATTTTAAAATTCACGAGTTGGTAACACATTTTGACATAGTAGGATTAAAAGTTTACGAATACATATGTGTAAGACTGATCAAAAGTAAAATAATTAATACTGTATTAATTACAGTTCTTATCTTAAGGGTGAATTTGTAAAAAAAGTTTATGAGACTGACAGACCTCATCGCCATGTCTTTGTTGATTTTCCAAAGTTTATGAGACTATTGTAGTATAATAATAAGAATAACATAAAACAATAAAAGATTTTACCTTATTTTAAGCCAGTTTTATTACATTTTCTGCCTATTACATTAATTTATACATGTTGATTTAAAACAATTATTTTTTTAATCCAAATCAAGCGATTTAAATCGTGATTTAAATCAGTCTGATTTATACCAACCCTGGTTTTAAATCATTAGTAAACATGATGCTCAATTTTAATTTGATGGGCATTGGTGTAATATAAAATTGTAGTCTTAATATGTAAAATTGTTACGAATCGTCCGTTGTACAAGGCAAACTAATACAAATGATGTTCCGTCGATTAAATTAACTAGTCGAAAATATATCTAGTTTATGAAATAGTTTATCGTTTATATGACTATGAAACGGTCTTCTTCCGTCGATGGTTAAAAACCTCAACGTCGCACCACTAACAAATATAATTGTTTAATTACAGTCGGAGTACGTCAGCTCAAAGGTGTACCCGATGTTCCCGAGATATACAATGCTGAAGGACATGATCAAGGACATTATGCACGACCCCGATTACATGGAGGTCTGCCACGAGGTGGATCCATAGCGCGGGGTGCGCAATTAAATGAGAAGCTCTTTCACCGACCGCCGAAGGTTGAGTCGTCGCTAGTTGCAAACCAGATGGAAACACACGGATGTGCTGAGAGGGTCTCGTAACTGCGTCCACGTAGGAATCGATTGCAATTTATGTGCTTGATGTTACGCCTGGTGTTCAAGGCTTCAGCTTGTCAGTGTCGCGATGTCTTGCACTGCTTCATTAATATCAATAATCTGCTGTATCTGGATGTAACAAACTTATACCCTTTTATCTAGTTAACGGTATACGTAAGTCATTTGTCTAGATTCTAATAATAAATACCTATACACACAAATTAGGAGCTTCTAATCATATCCCGGTAATATATTACTAGTAGAAAAATAAATAGTCTTGCCCTTTGTTCTAGACATTTCCATAGTTTACATTTCGCATTGTTTAGAAAAGTAGAACCTTCATTTCATTTCGAACTCAAAACTTGACGCCTGATCTGTGGGTATTTCGCGGAGCGTGCAGCGTAGCGGCTGCCAGAGTTTCTATACTTAGGGCACTTTGGCATTGTGTTGACGTCAAACAGAAGAAAATAAGAGCGGCGGCGTTTAGTGAGACGAGTACTCATTTATTTTGCGCTAATGTTTGTTAATTGTAAAATACGTTTAAATGTAAGTTTAATTACTTAGGTATTAACGTACTTGACTCGTCCTTGTGTATAGTCCTTTCGTTATTGAGTTATCCGATAGAGTATAAATGAGATAAGATAATATATCTTAAGATATTATATCTATTTATAAATGCTTCTTTGCCGGTTTCGAGAAGTTTCTCAAATAAACGTTTTCTTTTTCTTTGAAATTTAACCGTATGTGCATGGCGATCTTCGGTTAAATGTCAAAAACTCTAAAACAAACGGGTATAAATATTTCTTGATGTCAATGCCGGATTTAGACTACTAATTCTCCTAACCAATCCACGCATGTGGGACTTGCCACTAGTAAAACAGTATCGATCTTTCAAAAGTTTAACGCAAGTATTTGTGACTAAGAAATCGATCATCTCGTACTTTTTGTACAATATGTACGAAACAGATAACTAAACTAGCTAAAAAGGAAGTAAAAAAAAACCAAATAAAAATAAAAAGCAAATTATTTTATTTTTTATTGAAATTCTGGCTGCAACTTTTCAGGACAGCAAAATAATGTTAAAATTAAATTTTCTTAACATATTTGCCTCTATTTACAATAGGTGGTGATATAACACCGAACCCCTTTAGTAGCATCATCGTTCATTTTTAATTTTTTATGATTTTCAATTTCGAAAATGATCGTTCCGATATATCTACACACAATTTTTTTTCGGTGCAGTTTATGATGCCCCCGAAAACGTCATCTTATAAGCTAATCTGCCACTTTAATGTATGTTATTCATGTAATTTTAACATGTATATGCCATTACATTTATTATAATATGTTACTATATTAACATAGGTTGTTATAATATAAATAAGGACTTTTATTAAATAGACAGTACCATTTTATTTCCCAGGTACTTCTAAGGTCCTCACAGTATAAGTTAGGTATTATTAATTAATTAAAATACATATGAATGTAACTTAACTCAACATATCTGTTATGAATTTGTACAAAATTACCAATCATATCTTATATTGATTATTGATCTCTACGATTTCGTATGTATAACTCTATTGTGTGTGCTTCAAAATGTAGTAACTAAGTATGCGCTTATAAAGAAAAATGCCAAAGTATGTGTTCAAATGTGTAATGATGTGTGTACTGTAATGTGTATGTAATAGTACGTAATACTATTATTGTAATAGTGTTTCAATGTTCAGTCTTAACATAAAAATGGACGTTAAAAATATCGAAAGATATTTATATACCATATAGATACAGAATAGAATTCAATAATAATAACAGAAATTGTTAAACGTTGACAACAGCGCAAAGCGAATAAAATTGACAAAAACTTGGAGAGATATTTTTTTTTCAATTTGAGTTGCTATTCGACAAAAAAAGCTTTTTAGTATGTATGTAATTACTCTGAGATAATGAGATAATAATTGAATAAACTTTTGTCTAAAATAAAATCCGAAAATTAAGTTCGCACAAAATTGTGACAACCATGTTTAATTTTTTGAAATGAAAAGTTAACATTGAACATCACATAAAATAAACATTTATTTTTTCAAATGCAAATATACATTTTTCAAGTGCATTTACTCGTAACCTGCCTCATGAGAGACGACACCCAGTCTACTCTTATTTTAAAATGTTAATGTAAAATTTGTGCAGAAATGTTGATGAAACCACAAAACCTTCACACCATGCAAATTGCTCCATATAGCATTATTTTTCTTCTTCTTTTTATTTTTAACCCCCTTTAATACTCTGGTTTCACACCAGTTTTCGAAAATCGAGGTTTCATCAGATCTCGGAATTTTGAGGCCCTAGGAAGCTATTCTAACTATTCCTACGAGGATGTCACTATGTCTGTATGATTGAACGAACGATATGAACCAATTCGGACCGGTAGATTTTGAGAAATCTCAAAAATAAATTTTGAAAAAATGGTTCTTTTTTAAATATATTTTAAACAGATGTAACGATCAATTCCAAAATCTAATCAGCTCTTAAACTCAAAAAACGCCGTCGATTGCTGCAAACAGCATCAAAATCGGTTGATGCGTTGAAGAGAAATCGTTAACGACAAATTTCGAAAAAAGTATTTTTTTTTTCTAATAACTTTGAAATTTCTTCTCGGATCGTTTTTGATGTACTCGTAATTCATAAGCTCTAAGTGCTTAAAAAATTGCGTCGAACGCCGTCAAGTTCGTCAAAATCGGTTGCTTTGTTCGTAAAATATTCAATGTTGAAAAAAAAATAAAAAACGGGTTTTTCAAAAATAGGTGTAATTTGGAGCCCTTTGCATTTGAAATAAGTGGGAAGTTCCAGGGATGGCCTGTAGGGTCAACCGTATTTTTTTTTTAAAGAATAGGATAATATGAATGGATTCTCGTAGCCGTGTAACGGCGGCATAAGAGCATCCACTCACTATAATGAATAAACTTTTCAGTATTAAAATTTATTAATAAATAAAAAAAACTTCTGTAAATAGTTCTAGTAACATCTCTTTATATATGTTGTATATTTATAACACTTTTTTGGTAACATATAAATATTTCTATAATCACTAAATTATGTTTTGTCTCCGTTTTAAAAATTATATAATATACAAATATAGTTATTACTTTAAATAATATTATACGTGATTATTATTCTGAATTTTGTTCTTTAAAAGACTTTCAATTATTATTTTTTATAATATTAGATTACACGTTATTATACCGTCTATGATCTACTGTTATATAATATAAGTTTGTTACAAAGGATCCTAAAATTAAACATATAGTGTAGCGCGATAGGATATTGCACATTAAAAAAATGACCGAAATATGATCAAAAAGGTGTTTGGTCTATATTTAAAAATTTTGGAGATAACAAAAACTACCAAACCTTTAGAAAACAGCATTAAATGTCGTTTCTCATTCTCATGGATTAATTTTTCTTAATAGGCAAATAAACCTGTTCATTTTGTAAAAAAAAAGAACAGTCATTATAAAAAACTGGCATCAATCCATAGGATCCTAAGATATAACGATTGAGATTCGTGAAAATTGAAGTATTTTTTATATGCTGACAATACGAAACTTTTCTTTTGTAATTGTGTACCGCTAAATGTCATATTATTTTCAACCATTCAGATATATTAAGACCAGTACGACGACGTTGCGACCGACTACCTAGTTGGTCTAGTTGTCGTAAACGCGACTGCTGATCATAAGATCCCGGGTTTGAATCCCGATAGTATATCACTGAATCATTAATTGGCTTTTTATTAAGTCAGGGGTTATCAGGAGTCAGGAAATAGGGGTGTTAGACCTACGTGAATCGAAAAACACGTGAAGTCAAAGCTACGCCTGATTTGTCTCCGGTCGTGTCGGACTGCCGTGCCGTCCCATCGGATGATCGGACTATAAGAGTGAGAATATAGATTATGCAAGCACTCGAACATTATAATGCTATTCTTACGCAGATGGCTATTCTCCGTTGTCACCGCAATTCGATCTGGAGGATATTATTAGCATAAAAACTGCGATCAGTTTTGATTCATTATGATCGCTGCTATGGCTACAATTCATCACTGAGTACTACACTTTCAAAAAAATGCAGTTAGTTTCTTCACTGTGAAGGTTTTATTCTTCTCTGCTTAGTAATTCTCAAATGGATGCAAGTTTTGCGCACTAGGAATCCCAAAGAAGTTTCGTTAAATAAGGTTTGCTAAAGATCATAAAGCCAGGTTAGTTTCTTGTGTTGAAATAAAGATTTTTTTATACTAAATAACTTTTTCAACTTATAACGGAAAAACAACCAAGTGAGACAAATTTATATAATGTAATTTATAATATATTATTTAATAATGATTCACAACTCTCCAATAAAAAGAAGCTTTGGACAAAACTTGAAATGGCTTAATTTCGTATTCGATCTTCTGTGGGTTGTTTTTTCTTTTTATATAGAATAAGGGTGACTAACGAGCGCACAGTCTGCCTGATGGGAAGTGGATGTTGTGGCCTATAGACATCTATATTTATCCTCAATTAAGAATCAAAATGCAGGTGAGTTGTCAACCCTGAGGACTAAGATGGAATGCCTCGTTTCCAGTAAAAAAGGTCTTCGGCTTCCATTTAACGCTGATATTCTGTGAGAGCGTAAAGGTACAATTCCGTACCCGACTGCACGCAGCAGCAGCAGGCGACGTGTCGCCGCGACATGTTGCTGCGTATGATGTGCCGCGACATGTTGCTGCGTATGATGTGGCGTCATGTCGCTGCAGTCATGATTCCGAACCCCACTGCAGGCGGCAGCAGTCCGTGCTCCAATCTGTTCCGAATGTTCTGTGGGTTATCTGTTTATGTAAAAAAAAATTGGTACTTACCG